GGGCTGTTTGGTTTGCACAACACTGATACACATCAATTGTTAACAAGTAGTGCCTGGCACCAAACTGTGAGACTTTCCACTCTATCGTAAGATAAGAGTTGCCATGCCCAGCTCTCTCTTGAACACAGCAGATGAGGTACCTGCCCACTTTTCCTGAGAAGGTCTATCACAAATGGATGAAGAAATCAGGAGAAGCCTCTGGTTCTCCTTTGGACCTTAAGTGATTGGGTCGGTTAACACAGGGCTTTTCAACCTTTTCACCCATTGTACCACTTTTAGGATATGGCAACATCCGAGTACCACCAGTTGCCTAGCAAGGTGTCAAAAACTTGATGACCCAAAAAAAAGGAAAAAAGGAAAAAAGTGATAAAGTACAGGTAGTCCTCGACTTACAACAGTTCGCTTAGTGACTGTTCGAAGTTACAATGGCACTGAAAAAAGTGCCCCCCAAGCCACAGCCCAGCAAGACACCCAGCCTGCCCGCCTGGCTGCGCTCTTCCTCCTGTCCGAGGTTTTCATTGTTGTGAGCATTTCTGTTGAGGATTGGCAGCGGGGGTGGGGTGGGGGGTGTTTGGTTTTTATTCCCCCCGTCTGCTGGGTGGTTGCAACAGGTTTTGGTCACTTCACATGACCCTGGGACACTGTGACTGTCATAAATATGAATCAGTTGCCACACATCTGAATGTCAATCACAAGACCCTGGAGATGCTGCAACATTCCAGCTGACTGGCGCTTCTTCTGGGCTCAGCAGAAGCCCCAGGATCAGTGCTGCTTTCCAGCTGATTGGTGATTCTTCAGGGCTCAGCAGAAGCACCAGGATCAGCGCCGAGCTCCAGATGGATCCTGGCACTGATCCTGGCACTTCCGCTGAGCCCTGACAGCCCTGCAGCTCCAGCCGTCTCTCGCTCAGGCTTGTGCGGTGCTGCCACCGGTTCAGATCATTCACCTCCCCTGCTACCACTTTTCTAGGATGGTCACGTACCACCTGCCAGGTGCCAATGTACCACAGGTGGTACCCGTACCACTGGTTGAAAAGCCCTGGGTTAACATGCCCATCATTCCTCAGGGGCTTTCAGGAAGCCAATTCCAAAATCCAGAGTTCTGGAGAGAAAAGACAGGAGTGAGATTTTCACTCAGCAACAGAGGAAATTTATTCTATAAGAAGTTTGCCCTTCATATTTTCTAACGTTCTACAATCTGGCCCTTTAAACATGGCGAGCAAAATGGCACACAATGGTTGCATCCTAGTTTTTTGAAGGAGATCGTGGTGACATCACAAGCAGTTTTCCTTTTCAATTCCTTTCCTAAGGATTCTCCCATATGAAGCTCGCTTCATTCCTAACAGTTGCTAGGAATGAGGACAGGACAAGGAACAATGGATGGAAGCCTATCAAGGAGGGATGCAACATAGAACTAAGGAGAAATTTCCTGACAGTGAGAACAATTAATCAGTGGAAGGATTTGCCTCCAGACGTTGTGGGTGCTCCATCACTAGAAGTTTTAAAGAAAAGATTGGGCAGCTGTTTGCCTGGAATCGTGTAGGGTTTGTTGCCTGAACAAGGAGTTGGACTGGAAGACCTCCAAGGTCCTTCCCAGCTCTATTGTTCTGTTATTTAGAAGGAAGGAAGGAAGGAAGGAAGGAAGGAAGGAAGGAAGGAAGGAAGGAAGGAAGGAAGGAAGGAAGGAAGGAAGGAAGGAAAGAAAGAAAGAAGGAAGGAAAGAAGGAAGAAAGGAAGGAAAGAAGGAAGGAAGGAAGGAAGGAAGGAAAAAAGAAAAGAACGAAGGAAAGAAGGAAAGAAGGAAAGAAGGAAGAAAAGAAGAAAAGAAGAAAGAAAGGAAGGAAGGAAGGAAGGAAAGAAGGAAAGAAGGAAGGAAGAAAAGAAAAGAAGAAAGGAAGAAAGGAAGGAAGGAAAGAAAGAAAGAAAGAAGGAAAGAAGGAAGGAAGGAAGGAAGGAAGGAAGGAAGGAAAGAAGGAAGGAAGGAAAGAAAGAAGGAAAGAAGGCCCCTTCTCAGAGGTGTGATGTAATTATTCCCTTTTATTCCTCTGCTCACTATATTCATCTCTTCCAAAACCCTTCTCCAAAGATTGTTCATCTCAGACCTACATAAGGCAGTGTAACATTTGATTTGAGAGCTAAACCAAATAGATTATGCACAGGAAAAACAAGGGTATAATGGAAATAAAATATATTTTAAAAATGTGCCATGCGCATAACTGCAACTGAAAAGAAGGTTCAGAACAGTCACTACCAAACTATTGTATTTTTAAGGGTGCCACCATCCAGCCAGTAGACGCCTCCTTGTACCCTTGGTTTATGATTAACAAATATTTCAATAGTCCACACCTCAGAAAATGGTTTTGGCTGAACTAATTGTACAGGTAGCCAGAGAACTGTTAGGGATATCTGATAATGGACGAAGGAGTCAACTCTTTGTTGACTGGCTTGGCTGATAAGTAGAAGTCAAAGCCCGTATCCCACAAGCTCCATTTTGAATTCGCTCTTTCCCAGGGAAGCATCTTCTGTTTCTTATCCTGCGCGTGAAAATGCTAGTGACCATGCTGAGGATCTTGGCCACTCTGACAGCACTTCTAGGTAAGGCTTATACGATTTGGCAGCCGAATTCAAAACGAGGGAAAAATGATGGAAAATGAATGTGTTTTAAAACATTCAACTCTGAACATGAATGTGATATTCGGGGATGCAGAAAAGTTGAGGATGGACGTTCAAAGGTTACCTCCTTCGGTGATTCTAGTTTGGAACCTTCCCAGTTCTCCAATGTGTCTATAGTTTTATTCCTTTATTTCTGGAAGCTGTTGGAATTCCGCTTGGCTAGCAGGATTCTGGTGGGGACGGTACCTTTCTAGGCTAGGCGCCTTCTCTTCTGGGCTTTGAATGATCCTAAAAAGATGCTTGTCTTCCAGAATCTTAGACGTTCATGCCACTCTGATTTTGTTCTGAATGTTGGGGTTTATTGAGTAATAATGTTTATTGCATGTTTCACATGGTTTTTTTAAAAAATGGTTTATGCATGTTTTAAGAAATGGGCTCTTAATGTGTCAGCCCAACTGCTTACTAGGTAGGGAAGTGATCTGGGAAGGAAAAAATATATATAAATTCAACTTTTGGTTGCAGGAACTGAGTATGGCTAGTCTAGAGAAAGGAAGATCGAGGGGTGACATGATAGCAGTCTTCCAGAATCTCAGGGGGTTTCCACAAAGAAGAGGGAGTCAAGCTATTCTCCAAAGCACCAGAAGGCAGGAAAAGAAGCAATGGATGGAAACTAATCAAGGAGAGAAGCAACCTAGATCTAAGGAGAAATTTCTTAATGGTGAGAACAATCAACCAATGGAATGGCTTCCCTTCAGAGGTTGTGGGTGCCCCAACACTGAAGGCTTTCAGAAGAGACTAGATAGCCACATAATAATAATAATAATAATAATAATAATAATAATAATAATAATAATAATAATAATAATGATGATGATGATGATGATGATGATGATGATGATGATGATGATGATGATGATGATGATGATGATGATGGAAGGGACCTTGGAGGTCATCTAGTCCAACCCCCTGCTCAGGCAGGAAACCCTACACCATTTCGGACAAATGGCTGTCCAGTCTCTTCTTAAAAACTTCCAGTGTTGGAGCATTCACCGCTTCTGGAGGCAGGTTATTCCACTGGTTAATTGTTCTCACTGTCAGGAAGTTTCTCCTTAGTTCTAGGTTGCTTCTCTCCTTGATCAGTTTCCATCCGTTGCTTCTTGTCCTGCCTTCAGGCGCTTTGGAAAATAGCTTGACTCCCTCTTCTTTGTGGCAGCCCCTGAGATACTGGAAGACTGCTATCATGTCCCCCCTCGTTTTTTTCTTTATTAAACTTGATCAGGGGGCTAGATCTCCAAGGTGCCTTCCAGCTCTGTTCTGATTGATTGAACTAAGAAGAAGGTTAGAAATTTTCCCACGTGAGGTCAAATTGTGTGGACAATGGGCTGAAACTGAATTGGGGCAGATGGAGGTTCTGAGGGCCACCCTTGGAGAAGATACAGCCCCTCATTCTGGCACATCATCTTGGAAGAAATGCAAGTGAGGATGTTTCTGGATCCCTGGTCTCCAAGACAGAGGTTGTGATCAAGAGTGGCTTATCAGCTTTGGTTATTCTTTCAATTCCATCCTCTACAGAAAGAAAATTACCTCAATTACCCCTTGCCTGTGGTGTAAAAAGTGCAGATTTCCAAACTTGACTCCTCTTATGTGCTCTGCATGGAGCTGAGCCTGGATCTAGTCCAGAGAATTCATTTAGAGATCCCAGGTTGATCTTTTCAGATGTATCCACCCTGTTGGAAAGAAAAGGGTGTTGCTGTATATATGAATGGTCTTGAAAGCAGGCATTTAGCCAGAGCAAAGTTTAGTGAGCAAGCTTCTAACCTGGACAGAAAGAAAGGGTGAATTAAAAAAATATAAGAAGGGGTAGGAAACAGATGGATCTTGGTTCCTATTGTTTCCATCATTCTAGCAGATAGAACCCCTGAGATTTTGGAGAAGGAAGGAAGGAAGGAAGGAAAGAAAGAAAGAAAGAAAGAAAGAAAGAGGAAGGGGGAAGGAAAGAAAGAAAGAAAGAAGAGGGAGGGAGGGAAGGAGGAAAGAAAGAAAGAAAGAAAGAAGGAAGGAAGGAAGGAAGGAAGGAAGGAAGGAAGGAAGGAAGGAAGGATCAAGATGAAGCTAACATTTGGAGACTCCAAAAACAGGCAGAATGAAAGAAAGAAAGGAAATTAAACCTCCAACTCTTGCTACACTCCATAGATGTCTGCAGGGTGTGGTCAAAAAACTTTAGATGGTAGCCACAAATGGTGCAATCAAAGTTCCATAATTTTTTGGGTGTGTCAGGTGTGCAACATACCATTGTGGCCGGCATAACGGTATTTTAGACACTCACTGGATCTTCTGCTCCATTCCACTGTTTCTTGCCATTGATAGCCTGAAAAGTGCCACTATTACCTTAGTCATGTCGGGAGCACCAAAGCCCTTCCAGGTTGAAAGGATTGAACCGTGGCATCAGGGGGGTGCCCATTTGGGGGCTCCTTTCATGTCCCTCTTAAGCTGCCCACCGAAGTGGTATCTATCTATCTATCTATTTGCAATCACCCACTTTCAAACTGCTGGGTTGGCAGGAGCTGGAGGTGTATGACGGGAGCTCACCCCATTCCGCAACAGCAACAGGGTCTCAAAAGAGGAAGGGGGAAGGAAAGAAAGAAAGAAGAGGGAGGGAAGGAGGGAAAAAAGAAAGAAAGAAAGAGGAAGGGGAAAGGAAAGAAAGAAAGAAGAGGGAGGGAGAGAGGGAAGGAGGAAAGAAGCCTGCCGATCATCAGCCCAGTATCCTAAACTCGTGAGCCAACATGCTCTCCAAAAAGTGCTATAGAGGCAGGCTGGATTCACACAACATGTCAAGCCACACCCAAAAAGAGAGACAATGAAAAGCAGGCTCAGTATGTTTTGCAAATGAAGCTTTAACAGATAGAGAAGACTCACCAAGAGATGGCTTCTGAACCAAATACAAAGAGACGGGATCCCTCTTTCTACCCTCTCCATTCACTTAAACCATGTAAACTACATCCTAACGGCCACAGGATCCATCTTGCTCTAATTTGGGATCAGGTCTGATCTGCAGATGGCCCAGTTCCTTGAAACCTATTTCTTCCTGGCTTGCTGAGTTGATAGGTATAAATTATCCACTGATTTTTTTTTAGAGTAGGCCAATAATTTTTGCTATTAATCTTTGGTTTCTTAACGATTCTTTAATATCTCTCCTTTTAATCTACATCATCCTGCAAATTGGCGAGAGTTCTTGCTACTTGGCTGTATGCTAAGACTGATTATTTGATAGTGAATTCTTGATCTCAGCTTTCCCCATCAGATCTCTTCAGATGTTTTTGACCACAGTTTCTCTAATTGTGTTATGTACAAAAAAAAAAAAAATATTCTCAGGTCCTGAAGAGTCATAAATGAACACTGCAGACGTGTGTGGGGTGGCAAACATTTTTTTTAAAACCACATTTTTCACTATTACGTGTAAAAATGAGCTTGTAAATTTGTGGTTTGAAATGAAAAGCAGCAATGTCAAGAGGAAAACCCAAGTTCTCACTCGGCTTGGACCAGCCATTGCATCCATCTATTATGATCACACCGTCCTCTCTGTATTTTAATTTATATGCATGTTTATCGCTGTTATTAATTTGAAAAAAAAAGAAGCATGAAACTTGGATAATGTTGGTTTTGATGTTGGGCCGAGATGTATGGTCTGACCCAGAATAACCGAGCTGGAAGGAACCTCAGAGGTCTTTTAGTCCAACCCTCTGCACAAGTGGGAGACCCTTATACCATTCCAGGCAAATGTCTGTCTAATCACTTCTTGAAAATCCTGAAGACTTCCAAGGCTGATTCTGATTCCAGAGCACCTCAGACTCTATTACATCATCATCATCATCATCATCATCATCATCAGTCTGGATAGTGGACATGACAGTGTCTGGAGACAGCAGAATGGAAGAGAAAGAACTGGAGAAGATAACAAAATACAAAGACCTACAAATAGAAATAGAAAAACTGTGGCAAAGGCAAGCAAGGGCAGTACCAATAATAATAAAGCCTTGGGTGCAATCCCAAAACCACTGGAGCACCAGTTGAACACCATCATTGGCACTGACAAATTCGCCATTAGTCAATTGCAAAAGGCGGCCTTACTAGGAACCGCTTCCATCCTGCGACGATATCTGTAATGCCATCAAACATCCACATCTGCCTATCTCAGGTCCTTGGTAAGGATTCGATAGGTAGACAAAATGCCAAATCCAATCTGAACATCTGGCTGACTGTGCGATGATCCATAATAATAATAATAATAATAATAATAATAATAATAATAATAATAATAATAATAATAATAATAATAATAATAATAATAATAATAATAATAATAATAAGTTGGAAGGGACCTTGGAAGTCATCTAGTCCAACTCCCTGCTCAGGCAGGAACCCCAACACCATTTCAGACAAATGGCTGTCCAGTCTCTTCTTAAAAACTTCCAGTGTTGGAGCATTCACCACTTCTGGAGGCAGGTTGTTCCACTGGTCAATTGTTCTAACTGTCAGGAAATTTCTCCTTAGTTCTAGGTTGCTTCTCTCCTTGATGAGTTTCCATCCATTGCTTCTTGTCCTGCCTCTAGATGCTAATGCAACTTTAATACGAGAGTTCGTAAATATATCTTTACGACTAAACATAAATGCTATGATTCTATCATTGAATGCTGCTGCAGGGTCTCCTAACTTCAACAGCTTTAGGCTGTGTGGACTTCAACTCCCAGAATTCCCCAGCCAGACAGTGTACATTCTGGGAGTTGAAGTCCACACATCTTCAAGTTGTTACGGTTGAGAAAATTTGGTTTGTTGTACCATGCAAACAAACTCTACCCTTCCAGGTACACACTGCAAGAAGCCATGGTTTGGTTTAACCCCAACTGGTCAGCTAAGGATTTTCCATAGTATACTATAGTATAGTGTAGTGTAGTGTAGTGTAGTATAATAATATAGTATAGTATAGTATAGTATAGTAGTGTAGTGTAGTGTAGTGTAGTGTAGTGTAGTGTAGTGTAGTGTAGTGTAGTGTAGTGTAGTGTAATGTAGTATAATGCCGCCCTGAGTCCCATGGGGAGAAGGGCGGCATATAAATCCTAAAAATAAAAATAAAATAATAAATAATAATATAATATAATATAGTATAGTATAGTGTAGTGTAGTGTAGTATAATAATATAATATAATATAATATAATATAATATAATATAGTATAGTATAGTATAGTATAGTATAGTATAGTATAGTATAGTATAGTACAGTACAGTACAGTACAGTACAGTACAGTACAGTACAGTAGTGTAGTGTAGTGTAGTGTAGTGTAGTGTAGTGTAGTATAGTATAATATAGTATAAAACCCATAAACCAAAGGGTTCTGTTAAGGCTCATCTACTGGGGGAACCCAACCTACCAGTCACTTAGCTACTTGAGTATTAAGTCAGTGCTTCAAATACTGACCACAGTGGCACAAGGAGAGAGTTAGTAACTGCTCATTTTCCTTCCACCCTCTCCCCTAACATTAGCAGAAAGGATAACTGACAAATTTGGGATTTTGCAGAGGGCTTCCCTTGCTATCCCTTTTCCTCCTCTTTGATCTCAGTTGGGCCATTCTAGAAGACGCAAAGATTCCTCTAGAGTTGCACTTAACTTCTAGGGACTCCACTGAGTTTTGTGTTACTGCTTTTCAGAAAAAAGAACAGGGCTTTCCAATATCTGACCACAGAGTTTCCATCTGCTGTTTCATTTGGCCTTGATCGTGAGATTATTCAGTTGACTTTCGTTATCTAAATCCTCCCACTGCTCAAGTGTACTTACTGGCAGGGCCCTGCATAACAGTGGTTAAGTTTGTTTTTGCATCTCACAAGGCAAGACTCAGACGACATCTGCATACAGGTAGTCCCCGACGTACGACAGTTCATTTAGTGACCGCTCAAAATTACGATGGCACTGAGAAAAGTGGCATTAACATTTTTCAACGTAGGACCGCTGCAGCACCCCCACTGATTATGTGATCCAAATTCAGATGCTTGGCAACTGGTTCATATTTATGATGGTCGCAGCGTCCCGGGGTCATATATCCCCTTTTGCGACCTTCTGACAAGCCAAGTCAATGGGGAAGCCAGATTCACTGAACAACCGAGTTACTAACTTATCAACTGCAGTGATTCACTTAACAACTGTGGCAAGAAAGGGGCAAAATTCACTGAATGCTTAACAAATGTCTCCCTTAACAACAGAAATTTTAGACTCAACTGTGGTCGTAAGTTGAGGGTTACCTGTATTTTCTAGAGCAGCATTCCTATCTGACATTAATTCATAAAAGTAAAGCCTTTTTTGAATTGAATGGGAATTGAACTTAATTCCTATTGACTTCATCTAGTCCAACCTCCTGCTCAGGCAGGAAACCCTATACCATTTTGGACAAATGGCTGTCCAGTTTCTTCTTAAAAACTTCCAGTGTTGGCGCATTCACCGCTTCTGAAGGCAGATTATTCCACTGGTTAATTGTTCTAACAGTCAGAAAGTTTCTCCTTAGTTCTAGGTTGCTTCTCTCTTTGGTTAGTTTCCACTCGCTGAATCCCTTGATGCCCTCATCTGTTTTTTTCCATCTCTTCTATGAACGTGGTCCCCGGATTTTCTTTTTAAATACATGGCTAGGAAGATAATGGCTATAATTATTCCATCAGGTTGGCATATAATCCAAAATACCTGCATTTGGTTGAGGCGCTTCAACTGGCCAAGGAGCCAGAGATTGCTTTCTGAGACAGAGGTTGGAAAGGGGTGACATTTCAGTTCCTGAATACAACTAGACACTTGGTTGATTTTTGTCCTAATGGATTGATTTTCCACAGGTCTTGTGAAGGGTGTGATTGTGATCATGCCAAAGAATGCCACGAATACAACAGTTGGTGCCAACATCACCCTTCCTTGCATGTATAATACAGCAACGACTCCTGATATGATTCAATGGAATTTTTATGGCAATGATCTGCAAACTCCTGGAGTAAGACATTAAGCTTTTATTTCAAACTTGAACTGTTACTTATTGCCTGGTTAAGATTGTTTTGAATTCAGAATGCTATGAGGAACACAATCTAAACTTTGGTAATGTTTCATGACCAAACTAGATAACATCCTCAGTGCACTGATGATTTTTATCTAGTTTGGTAATGAAACATTTGCAAGAAAACCACCAAGCTCAGAGAACACCAAGGACCCCACAGCTCAGCTCTGAGTTACAAATATTCTCTTCTTTGGTACAATCTAAAGTTATTGTAATTCAGTAGGAGGGTCTCCACTGAGTTTAAAGTCAAATAAGTGTTTTTATTTACAAGGAGAGACTAGAGGTGTACTTCAGCAGAGAAGTAATGAGACCAAAGTAATCCTATTGCCTTTACTTGATTCTTTAAACTGATCCATTTTAAGCCAGCAGAGAAGTAAGCAGTCTTGGCTTCTAAAGGCTCTCTTGTTTGCTTTTATGCTTTGAATGCTAAAAACTTTAAAGTTGGGAGGTACTATCAAATATTCTTCATCAATTAATATCCCTTCACCAGGGCAGAATCTATTATATATATATTATTTGATTGCCCAACTTAATCCTTAATCCTAAATCAATCTTTTTCAATTGTGTGTCCTTTGGGATTTGTTGAACAGATATGACATACATTTCCATGATTTTTTAGTCATGGACCATACTGGCTGAGAATTGTGAAAGTTGTATTCTATTATAGCTGGCAGCTCTCCAGGTAGGAATAGCTGGACTACATAAACAGAGAAATATTTGTCCCCTGTTCTTTAGTTATGAGGACAACACATCAGATCTTCTCTGGCTATTCTCTATGTTAGAAATTCTATTTATATAAAGCACCACACAGAGCAAACAAAGAGTACAGTCACCATGTGCTTTACTGCTCAACTATCTAACTGAAACAGGAAACTCTACTTAGAACAAAAGAGCAGAGAGTATATATACCATAGATCCAGACTTGTATATGCTACCATCTACTGGCTGAATACTACAGTACTATAGTTGTTGCATAGAAATACATTCCAACGATGAATTCCAACACCTTACTTCCTAATCGTTGGCTTTGCTGATAGTTGAGTAAGGGTGGCATTTTTTTTTATTAGTGCCTATTTTTGCTGCATACTAGTAAAAATTCATTCATTCATTTATTTTTATCCCACCTTTATTATTTTTACAAATAATTCAAGGTGGCAAACATATCCAGCATACATTTTCAATGGGTCTTTCTCCTCTTATGTTCTCCAACAGCCCTGTTGGGTTGAGAGAGGGACTGGCGAAATGTCACCCAGTTGGCTTTCATGGCTAAGATGGGACTTGAACTCACGGTTTCCCACTTTCCAGCCTGGCGCCTTAACGTAGAACTCTAGTATTGACAACTGCCTCTACAAGATGGGCAGAATTAAAATCCCAGGAGAGGAAGTTAAAATAAACAGCAGTCCCGAGACTGAGAGCTGCAATCCTGGAGCCCTGATCATGAACTCTGAATGGTGACTTTAGGGCCCAAAAGGAGATGGGGCAACCCTAAAATGAAACTCCATATTGCTCACATTAAAAAGAAAAGAGTGCTGTGTGTTTTTTTTAAAAATCCAAGTCACCAACTCATAGACTAGCACATTTCTACTCAAATGCAGCCATCAACATGCCTTTATAGGGGTGAAAAGTCCACCAGTCACTGTGGAAAGACTGTGTCTATCACAGATACACGGGGAAGATGTAGCGAGATTCACAAGGTAAGAACATGAAATCTGTAAGAATAATACAATTGTTTGGGATTTCTAATGTGCTCTTTATACAGGTAGTCCTTGACTTACGACTGTAATTGAGCTTGGTCATCAGGGTCATGAGCCGTAATGGTTCTAAAGTGGCTCACCCCTGTGACCAACCCGATTTTATGACCTTTTTTCCAGTGGCCGTTACGCAAACATTGCAGTTCTTAAGCCCAGCGTTCACTGTGGGTTGGTTTTGCTGAAAACAAGAAGTAAATGCCGGTTATAAGCAAAACTATCATAAAATGCAATGATATGAACCAGGGATGCTGTAAACCGCTGCTTGTTGCTGCGTGTTCAACACATTTTGATGACCACAGGTGCTCATTGGAATTTTGGAACTGGTCATAAGTCAAGGTCTATCTGTACATTTTTGTTAAAACCTCAGGTGAGTTTCTGGAATTCAGTTCTTCACATTCTCTTCTAAAAATAATGATGTTCCCTAGTTGGTTAATGAAATGTCTTCAAGCTCAGAGAGCACCAAAGACCCCCCAGTCCCCCTACTTCTTGTCCCATCTCCTCTTCCTCCTCCCCCTTTTTCACTCCACAAACCCCACTCCTTTCTAGCACTGATGATGTTACCTTGTTTGGGTAATGAAACGTCTGCAAGAAAACAAGAAAGTTCAGAGAGCACCAAGGAGCCCCTCCTCCTCCTCCTCCTCTTCTTCTTCTCCTCCTCCTCCTCCTCCTCCTCCTCTTAGTTAAGTCCATCCTCTTTGGCAGAAATGACAGCTATAATTCCCATAGCCAGGATTTTTTTTTCTTATGCTTCCTTACAGAATCTTTCTAGTTCAGCAATATTTTTTAGATCTCCTTGCATGCATTAGGTGCCAGAGATCTCCTCCGCAGATTTTTAATAATTAAGTTGGGGATGGTGAAGGCCATTCTAAATGCTTTTATCTGCTTTTTTTTCCTGTAAATACTTCATAATTAACCTGGAACTACGGTTTTGGACCTTAATCTTGCTGAAGCATCTCAGGAAACCTAAGGATATTTCTGCATTAAATGAAATCTAGTTAACTCGTTGATCAGTGACGTACGCAGCACCAATGTACAGTTATGTTATGTTATGTTATGTTATGTTAATTTAATTTGTATACCGCCCTTCTCCCATAGGACTCAGGTGGAATTCTAATATATGTATTTTACTGTTTTGTGACCTGACCTGGCAGTTTTGTGAACTGACCTTTTTTTTTTTTTTCAGGCAGGATCAAAATCGGGAGGAAAACAAATAACCTCATTTTTTTTTCTTACACCACCAATCTGATGAATGTTAAATTCTGTTTCACAGATTTATATTTGGCAGTCTGGCAAATCTTATTACCTTGGACAGTTTAAGGGCAAAAGTCAAGTAGCAAACAGCACGGGAAATGCAAGCCTTTCCATCTTCAACATGCAGCCCTCAGACACAGGGGTGTATAGGTGTTCAGTGTACAATTTCAAGGATGGTACCGCAAGTGAAGGTGAAAAATCAGTGTCGGTCAGCGTGCTAGGTACCTATTTCTTTTTCTTCTTTAGTGTGTTTCTGTCCTCGTCACCTGCTACGTTGAATTAAAGGTTCAGTGATTGGGTTCCACCTCAAGCTAAGCCAAAATGTTTTGCATTCTGTTCTGGCTTAGCATATTGAATATAAGAGCCATGGTAGCACAGTGGTTAGAATGCAGTATTGCAGGCAAACTCTGCCCACAGCCTGGAGTTTGATCCTGACCGGCTCAAGGTTGACTCATCCTTCCGAGGTTGGTAAAATGAGGACCCAGATTGTTGGGGGCAATGTGCTGACTCCGTAAGCCGCTGTAAAGCACCATGAAGCAGTGTACAAATCTAAGTCCTAAGTGTTCACTCACTATGGTTGATCAACCACTGTTTATGGCTTAATATAGTGTGTAAGCCTGGTTAGCCAACAAGCTATGGCTTAAGATGGTATGTGACCCAGTCTATAGATGTATATTTGAGCTTCTGGTTAAACTATCAACAGAGTTCATATCTTGCATTGAGCCATATATGTGTCTATCAGATTTGACAAAGTGTATTGTGTGAACTTGTTTCACTGAGGTTTATTAAACAAACCATGATGTAATGTCATAGGTGAGTCATTTTGTAAAATCAAATCTTGAGTGCAGACAAATAGTACAGTGTTCGCATCTATGCAATTGGCCAAACTTGTGGCTTACTGTGTTGTGTGACCCAACCAAATTATGGTTCATGTTATATAAATGCAGCTGGTTGTGATTTATACATTAAATCATGGTTTAACAAAGAACAGCTTGGTCCAAGATGTGACTGTAGTCAATGTATGCTTCCTGCTCAGGATTCCTCTCGGCTCTCCTGCCATCCAAGGAAGGCTATTTCCATTTTTCTTCTAAGCATTCCAGAATTATTAAGACTTTTTTGATCTTGTAGAATTATGTCTTTTTCTTGAGTAAGTGTTACCTCCTTTCACAGTTGGCAATTCTGGGTGTTAAAACCCACATATCTTAAAAGTTGCCAAGTTTGAAAGTTGCTAGTCTCTAACCACTGCTGATATATTTAAAACCTCATTTCTGGAGAATTACTAAAGTATAAGAAGAGCCGTCTCGCAATTTGAGAAGCAGGTGCCCAATGCATCATAAAGGCACCAGACTGGAAAAAGAGTCTCCTAGAGCAGCAGTCTCCAAACTTTTTGGCACCAGGGACCAGTTTCGTGGAAGATTATTTTTCCATGGACTGGAGACAGGGAGGAGGAGCGTGCAATCTAGATCCCACGCATGCGTGGTTTCGCTCATCTTCAGCTGTGCAGCTCGGTTCCTAATAGGACACAGCCTGGTACCAGTCCACGGCCCAGGGGTTGGAACCCCTGCTCTAGAACAGTGTTCCCCAACCTTTCCTGGAGGGGAGAGTGGGAAAGGGAGGGGCAGGTGCATGTGCACGCATGGACATCCGTAGCTTGTGCAAGTGGGACTGAGAGCACTCATGATGGTCACGTGAGGCCCTGAGCGCCTGCGATGCTTGCACGAATTGGGCCACAAGCACCCGCAATCCTTGCATGAGTGAGGTGATGCTCACGAGTGGGGCTGTGCGTATGCACAACGCGCGCACCAGCCAGCCACTCACGCGGCCCAGTTTCAAATAGGCCACGGACTGGCAGTGGGCCATGGCTCACAGGTTGGGGACCCCGGCCCTAGAATACAACACAATGAAAAAAAGAGAGAAAGATAATTTCAATTTCACTGCTTTGCCTGCTGTTTTGTATTCCAGTTCCTCCTTCGCAGCCCCTCTGCAGTTTTGGCTCAAGCCATCATTCTGATGTTGAAATTGGCCACTTGATCACTTTAGCCTGCGTTTCGGAAGCCGGTCTGCCAAAGCCAGCCTACAAATGGTACCGACTAACTGGAGATAAAGCGCAGCCTGTCACTGAGACATACAGTGAGTAGCTTTCTCCTTCCAGTTCCTATGGAAAGGCTGAGATGCAACAATTCAGCATCTTTTTTTTTTGCATCTTGGTGACCAGAATTGGACACAATATTCCAAAGGTGGCCTCATCGCTTTTGTGGCATTGTTGAGGCCACACTTGGAATTCTGTGTCCAGTTCTGGTCACTACGATACAAAAAGATTTGACACTCTAGAACTTGATGATTAGGGGACTGGAGGCTAAAACATACAATGAACAGTTGCAGGAACTAGATATGTCTAGTCTAACGAAGAGAAGTAAGGGGTGTTATGACAGCAATTTTCCAGTATTTGAGGGGCTGTCATAGAGAAGAGGAAGTTACTGTGTTTCCCCATAAATAAGACCAGGTCTTATATTAACTTTTGCTCCAAAAGACGCATTAAGGCTTATTTTCCAGTTAAGTCTTATTTTCGGAGAAATACGGTACTAAATGCGTCCATCTGGCTGACGATCTTAACTGGGGCTTATTTTGTGAATAGGGGCTTATATTACAAGCACCCTGAAAAATCACGTTAGGGTTTATTTTCCGCTTAGGTCTTATTTGGAGGGGGGAAACAGGGGTAATACAAGCTTTCAAACTTACATTAATATACTCTACAATAAAGTAGAATTCCTGAAATCTCTGCAGGGTCTGTTCCTTGACTCAGCCCACCTTAAGAAGCTTGAGACTTCCCACCTTCCAAAATTATTATGAATAAATGTATATTAGGGGACTGGAGGTTAAAACATATGAGGAACGGTTGCTGGAACTGGGTATGTCTAGTTTAACGAAGAGAAGGACGAGGGGGGAACATGACAGCAGCGTTCCAATATCTCAGGGGCTGCCCCAAAGAAGAGGGAGTCAAGCTCTTCTCCAAAGCGCCTGAAGGCAGGACAAGAAGCAACGGGTGGAAACTAATCAAGGAGAGAAGCAACCTGGAACTAAGGAGAAACTTCCTGACAGTTAGAACAATTAACCAGTGGAACAACTTGCCTCCAGAAGCGGTGAATGCACCAACACTGGAAGTTTTTAAGAAGAAACTGGACAGCCATTTGTCCGAAATGGTATAGGGTTTCCTGCCTGAGCAGGGGGTTGGACTAGATGACCTCCAAGGTCCCTTCCAACTTTATTATTATTATTATTATTATTATTATTATTATTATTATTATTATTATTATTATTATTATTA